TCACAAGGTTTCAGTGAAAAACGACGTTTTTTGTGGCTTGTGTAAAAAAGATAAAGAAATGCCTCGTGAATAGTTAGAATGAAGCATCAGAAATTGTCTTTTTTACACAAGCCACAAAAAACGTCGTTTTTCACTGAAACCTTGTGAACGCACATAAAATGTCCGGATATACACGTGGGATTTTTGTTTCGAATTTTTCAACTTCTAGGAATTTGGATTTCGACTGGGTGCATATGCACCTAGGAGCCAAAACGCCACTCTCCTCCTTTGATGCATTTTATTACTTTACTATTTACTCTTATACTTATGGTAGCCCTTCCGGTCCCACCCAATCCATCCCTGCGAGCTTTTCCACTCCACTCCGTGCGCCCCCAACCACGCCGCACACTTCTCGCCGACTTCTCGCGGCCTCCAAAACCCAAATCCCTGACCGCCGGCGGCGGCGATGCTCCTCTACCACCGCATCGTCCCTCGCCTCCTCTCCCTCCCCTCCAGCCCCACCTCGAAGCTCCTCGTCCGCCCCTCCCGCCTCCCTCCTCGCCGCCCCTTCCTGCCTCGCTGCGCCGCGCTCTCAGCGCTCGCGGCCCCCCAAACCGTAGACCACTCCGACGCCGAAGAATCCGCCGACCACCTCGACGCCGAAGAGCCCCAGGAGCCCCAGGAGCCGCAGGAGGTGCAGGTAAAGCTCCCTCTCGACCGGCTCTTCCTGCCACCGGGGGCGAGCGTGACCCCGGGGGACGAGGAGGTCGTAACCGCGCGGGTCCTCAAGGGCTCCAACATCGTGCTGGGCACGTACGCGCGGGGCGATGCGCAGGTGGTTAACGCGGATTTCATAAAGAGCAGCGTGCGACCCGATGACTGCCCCAGGGATGGGCTGCCCGAGTTCGCGCTCGTCGGCCGCTCCAACGTCGGCAAGTCGTCACTGCTCAACTCGCTCGTCCGCCGCAAGCGCCTCGCGCTCACTTCCAAGAAACCTGGTAGGCCGCTCTTAAATTTTTTTTGTTGCCTAATTATATGCTGCAACTGTAATGCTGCTGGGGTTTAAGGTTTAGGTCCTCTCGTTCCTACTTGCTAGGAGGCGATTACCTAGTTGATACGATGGCTTTGCGAGTACTTTGAGATATGGTGGAAGCGGGCTATTCTGGGGTTTGAGTGCACAAATGTGTTCATAGGAGGCACCTTTTAGGGGATATGATTGACTTGATTCTGGGTTTTAGTGTCTAGCTCTAAAACTGCACATTATGCGTCTGCATCTTACACCAAGCTGTTCAATTCCATTCATACATAGAAAAGCTGGTTATTCTTTCTTCATACATGGTTCTTTTCTCTTTATAATGGTCACGCACACCGACGATAATAGTTCTCTTGCTATGCCCGGTTATTGTTGTAATGTTGGCTTTTCAGAAGGTCTGGCACTCTGGTCTTCGAGTTTTGTTTTGTTGGCCACATGTTTGATGTTTATCTTATATATAAGAGCTTATCTGTCGGCCCATACTGAAAAGAGAGCAGAAAGACCATGAACCTCTGCTGTCTAGTTCTACATAATTTTTCTTTTGCCAAACTGTATCTTTTGGTTTTAATAATAATAATAATAATAATAATTTCTGCAAGCACATGGAACTGCATGGTCTAGCATCAATATATTCTCTAGAAATATGTTCAACATGACCTTTTTCCAGCTGTTCGTTCCTTGGCCTCTTACACGATACACTGCAGCAGAACCTCAATATTATGAAATCAACTCTCCACCCTAATTTCATTAATTTTCTTAATTGTTTTTATCATTGCAGGAAAGACCCAGTGTATCAATCATTTTAAAATAAATGACAGTTGGTACCTTGTTGACTTGCCTGGTTATGGGTATGCTACTGCTCTTAGCCCACTTTCAGTTTCCGTATTTTCCGAAAAAAGTTCTTAACTACGCAGACAAATGCATTGAAATGTTTGACCATTGAACTTCAAGCCTGTTTTGTTGCCATGAAACTTAACATATCTCTTCGTAATTCTCCATGCCAATTTCGATGTTACAGATCCATTGGAATTAAAGCTGACACATTACTTGCAAATATCGATATTCTTGAAATGAATTGAGTAGCTTAACTGTACTCTCAAATTGTGAATTTAATTGCCCTTTTTAACATATCGGCCCTCTTTGAGTTAGTGCCCTACTGGATGCCTATTTTTAAGTTACTGTCTACCTACGAATAGTTCATTAGTGGATAATAAGTTCTATGGTGTATAGGTAATATCTGTAGTAACAGGAAATGATTTGATTAAATCATGGTTAGTTTTTTTGGTGAAAAGCAGAGCACTTTAACCTGGAGTTTTAGACTTTGTACATAAACATGATTATGCTGATCAAATTGGTGCCAATCATTTCGAAATATATTTGATATTTGGGAATTTAGAAGAGTGTTCACATCATCTAGTATGGACCGTGACTGTGCATATCAATATCTTTATTAATTTGAGTTACACACTAATATATTGTATATGTCAAAAACACTTTCTTGACTTGTGTCTTCTTTGAACCTGCTTTATGTAGGTTAATAAAAATCAAAATATACTTCTTATTCGGACATACATCAAACGAGAAAAGGATCCATGACAGTAGAAAATTAAACTCTACTGGTTGGAGCTTATATATTTTTTGAAATATTCTCCATCTTCTGGCTTTAACTAAAGCATTTATTTGAACAGATATGCTTCAGCACCACAGGTAGCTCGTAAAGATTGGGATGAATTTACAAGAAATTACTTCCTCAGCAGAGATAATTTGGTGTCAGTTTTTCTCCTTATTGATGCAAGTATTCCTGCTAAGAAGATTGATCTTGACTATGCTAGTTGGCTTGGGCAAAATAAGGTAAGCCATCCTTTCCAAACAACTAAATCTTCATACTGAAAGATGTTGAACTAGTTAGCTATCTACACCTTTTGCATATGAACTATCAATGATGAGAGTCCATCATGTTACACGAAATTAGTCAATCTATTTACCCACCGCATTGAAAGATGTGCTACTGTACACATGAAGTTATTTCTTTTTGTTGTTCTGATGAAACAAATTACAGTGCTATGTTAGACTTTAAGCAGTCAATAATATACTTCCTCTGTCCGGAATTACTTGTCGCTCAAATGGATGTATCTAGCACTAAAATAGTGCTAGATTTAGTCTGAGCCCAAAGGCATGTATCATGTCAAACTTTGCAGTACGGATAATTAGGAATTTATGAGTGACTTATCAGGTTTCAAAATTATTGTCTGTACTACTCCTACCATGAACCAGGGGTTATTTTAGGTATTTTAATCTTGTGCATTTAAAACAGTAGGCTTCTTTCTCTTCAGGGTCATCTGATATAACAGTAGGCTTCTTGAGATTAGTTAAAGTACAATCAGAACACTAGTGTTGTTCCGCATGCTCGATGGTTTATTCATTTTTGATGAATTACAAAGTTTGAAGTATTCTTAAAAGAGTTACTATAGCCTTATTACAGATTTGCTGAAAGAACAAATTTGTCTTAGTAAGAAGGATTAAACATCAAATTCAACAAGGACTAGACGGCAATTTTTTTGGTATCCATGGGTGGATGTGAAGACATCCAAGGAGTAGAGTATAGGGATTGGAATGAAAACAAATGCAAGTAGCATCGTTCACGTTGAGGATTAGAGAGTTCAGATAGATAGCTCAGAAGAGACAATGAGGGGCACCCATTATCATGATGCACGAGGGGAGGGGTGTTCCCTGTCTAGCTTTTTCCTCTTGCACTAGAGGAGCTTTACATGGACGTCCTCTGTCATGTGGGGCCGCACGTATGCACATAGTCGGATTGAAACCACATCTGAAAGGGAAAACATAAAACTGTAAATCCTGATCTTCAAGTAATTGGGGATCTTATCTGTTCCAATTCCGATCTGATCAGGAGATGCGCCTTATAGATTATGAGTACTCAGTAGGAGTTATGCCATAGTAGGAGATGCCACAGTCGCATTACGGACTTGGTCCTGTACTCCTATAGAATGGGACGTACCTCGCATTTGGGAGTTTCAATCAATCAATATACAAGGGCAAAAGGAGGTTAGCTTCCGATGAATCCTTACCCTCTACCTCTTCCCGCGCCACGGTACAAAAGCCACTGAAGGGATCACAACTATGGCCTCCAGCACATCACAACTATGCGCTCCGGAGGTTGGGCTGTGCGTTCTCTTCCTAGCAATATAATCTGCTTAAAAATTGGTGAGTGTGTATCATAACAAAATGAACCACATCCATTCTAGTAGAATGTAGGAGTGTGTTATGACCGGGCAGACTTATGCCCGTAGGAGGCCCACCGGGCAGGTTTAGTTAGGGGCTTAGCCCACAAGTTATCTTATTTTTATTTCGCATCGAGGTTATATAAACAAGTTGTAAGACTCTTTTGAGAATTAAGCAATAAGATAAATCCTATTGCCCGGCTCCCTGAGGAGCCGGACCCTAAACCCTAGCCGCGCCTTGCGCCGCCGCGACCTCTTCTTCATCGCGCCATGGCGCCCCGCCGCCAGCAGCCGCGCTCGAGTCCCCGTCAACCCTCCTCCTTCCCGTACAACCTACGCCCTAGACCAGGTAGGGTCCTAGCTCCTACCAGAGTGTTATCTTCATGTTTTTTGTTGGGTCACTTTGTTTGAGCCTTTTATGTTTTCCCTTTCAGATGTGGTTTGTTTTGAGCTGTTTATTTTTGCCTTGGCTATTCAGCAAATACGGCAATGGTTTAATTTTGTGTTAAACTGCTAAGACTTCAAATATACTTTTGATGTGCTTGTCCCAGGGCAATTCATTTGAGCATTTTATTTTATTTCTGTGTCCTCAATATCATGGCATCATAGATGATCCTTGAGATAACTTCTCCTTATTCTTGCTTTGCCCTTCACCGTATAATAGGGATGTGAGAGCCTGGCTTAATAGGAATGATAGACTACTCATATCAACAAGGAATTCCTTCTTTTCCGGGAGCCCATTCGTAAAGAACTCCAAAGTTAAGCGTGTTTGGCTTGCAGCGATTCTAGGATGGGTGATCGATCGGGAAGTTGGTCCCGGGTGCGCAAATGTGCAGGAAAGACCAGTGTTGGTCCGTGGGGCTAGTCTAGATCCCGCCAAGCGTAACGGGGCGTTACAATTGGTATCAGAGCCGACCCTTGCGGTTGCACGGGCATGTGGCCCGTTGTGGCACACGGCATGACACATGTGCCGGACTGGACGTTCATACGTGTGCCAAAAGGGAACGTTCCTGATGGGCCGATAAGGACGTCGGTTACTTTGAGTTGGGGTGTATGTGAGAGCCTGGCTTAATAGGAATGATAGACTACCCATATCAACAAGGAATTCCTTCTTTTCCGGGAGCCCGTTCGAAAAGAACTCCAAAGTTAAGCGTGCTTGGCCTGGAGCGATTTTAGGATGGGTGACCGACCGGGAAGTTGGTCCCGGGAGCGCGCCAGTGAGGACAAAGTACGCAGGAAGGGCTAGTGTTGGTCGGTGGGGCCAGTCTAGATCCCGCCAGGCGTTACAAGGGACAAATTTTAAAACAAATTATCTCTTTTGTTTGGGCCACCATCTGAAAACACCGTGAACGGTAGCAGAGCACATGCCATCAAGCCTTCTACGAAGGCCACTGATAAACTGGCGCATGTAGTCTTCTGTAGGTACAATAAATGCAGCACACACATAAATCAGTGTTCGTTGGACACCAAAACCACATGAAGATGAGGCAGTTCAAATGAACAATCCAAACCTGCAGATAATGATCTGAAGAAATAAATTACTGTAACATGAAAAGCACTTTCTGGCCAAAAAAGGGAGCTTGAAAAGCACCGATTAGGAGAGTTTATTCTAAGTTGTATAGGATGTTGCTGAAAGCACCTGTATAGAGTAAAGGAATAGAGTTAAATTGTCGGTTGAAATGAGTATACTTCAAGGAGTGCAGTGACGCAGTTGAAAGGAAATATGTCAGACAAAGTGCCCCAACAAAAGGAGCATGAAAGCAATATCCCTATATTTGCCTAAAATGAACGTGTTTTTGTCGAATTTGCATTATCAAACTCCTGCCAACATTTCAATATTTAGAAGGATGTTCGTCACAAATGTTCTCACAGCTGACCTTTAGATCTATTTTTCAATCTTTCAAGAATAGGTTTCCATCAATTACGTAAAGAATTCTGAGGCTACTTTAGTTAAATTAAAGCTTATAGTTTTAAGTTTGAACAGAAAAGTGTCAAATATGATCTATCACTCATCGTTGTGAAGATAAAATACCTGCAAGCCCCTAATAAGTTTCTGATTGTAATATGTATGTGTATCTGAGAAATGTTTCTGTCATCTGGTAAATTAGCGTGCAATTGGGTTTCTTTATAGTTGAATGCTGCTGCCACTGGGGCTTATGGCACGCCTTCTATTTTTATTTTTGGATGGTGTCCCTATATCAGTCTCAAGACCCTACCAAACCTGCCGAGTGCAGCTTGACTGTGGAACCCCCAATCTCGTATCAGGAAGTCAAAACTTGTCAATTTAAAGTAAAACTTCTGGCAGACTCAAGTCGGACAACATGGTGGTATCTTATACAAAAGTAATATTTGACAATATTAGTTAGTTCCTGCCCATTCCACATTCCTTGTGTACTACCGCTACTGCAGTGTCCCCACTGACTCACCCACCCTTTGCAACAAAGCCTGAGCCTGTCCTACCCAGTCAATAACGATCAGTAGTGTTCCCGTAAGCAGCTTATGTCCTTTTATTGGTGCCTCCCCACCCCACAACCATTATTTTCCCTTTTGTGAGATTCAACCATCCCCCCTTTTGTTTCGTTGCAATTCAGTGCAAAACACTCCTCTTTGGACATGGAATATTTGCATCATTGAATGTCCTGAGGGCATCCATTACATATTCCTCTTTTCGGACATATAGTAATGGAGCGTCCTTCTGTATAAGTAATGACAGGCAAGATCCAAATCATGCATTATTGTCTTCCATATGTATTTCTTCTCTTGATGCATTGATATCTACTGAATCTGATTAATGATGTCAGGCTGTTAGTTATAGATCTGTGTGTATCTTGCAACACGTATAGAGCAAATCTTGTTAATAAAAACATGCACTATACTAGTTAATAAAAACATGGGAGGAAATCGATAGCTAGCTGAAGAGCAAATCTTGAAGACTTTCAGTTTCAATGTTCATGTTTTCAGGTCCCAATGACGCTCGTCTTCACAAAGTGCGACAAGCGCAAGAAGAAGAAAAACGGCGGCAAGAGACCGGAAGAAAACGTAGAATGCTTCCAGAGCCTGATCCGCGAATATTTCGAGGCGGCGCCTCCGTGGATAATGACGAGCAGCGTAACGAACCAAGGCAGAGATGAGATACTTCTGCACATGTCTCAGCTCAGGAACTATTGGCGCAAGCACTGACAAGAGGAAATACAACAAGAGTAGGACTGAAACAATACCAAACCGCATTCAGGCGGCAGCCGCACCCTCTGCAATCAGGATCTTCACCAACCAATCCGCCTTGCCTTTTGAGCTGTTGATTGCCCACGATTGCAACCATGATTACTCAATCAACAGGCAGACCGACCGGGAATACAGACAAGCCGCTGAAATCAACTGCCCTGTTTTCTTCTTCTATATTTGTACTACAACCGTACAGCCTCGACGTTTTGTCTTTGTTACCTTCTGATTATAAGATTGTGCGTCCTGTATGTAGATTAAAGAACCTCCCGTGTCAGCTAATCATCATCGGGAATCCCACACGTTTGTTTTGTTATTTGCTCCCTTGCACCCTGCATGGCACAAATGGCAGGAGGTGCGGGCGCCTCTTGACTAGTCAATGCTTTTTCCGTGGCGTACAGCACGCGGTGAAAGTGCCACATTATTGGGGTCCATTCTACAGTTGGTTCCCTTTCAGCCCAGAGCAGATTAAACAAAAAAGATCAGCCGGTACAAGTCTGCCTGGACTCACTGGACGCGCAGCCCTGGTCAGATAACTGCAGGCCTGGCTGCACTGTAACGTGCGATTATCTTATCCTGGGGTCTTGATGTTCATGCATGCATGCATGCTTGCTTGGTTTGTTAGGCCTATCTGTCATGAGTTTTGTATTGGCAGTATCAGCACCTGTTTGTTTGTCTTTATAAGGTCAAATCTTTAAAAGCCGTGCGCCGTCTACGCGAAAGGTATGTATAGATACTTACTTGCTTCCAGTCCCGACGAACAGCTCAGCTGGGCTCCTCCCTTCCTCCCCACAGCTGCTGGGCGCGTTTGTCTGTCACTAAACTCTAAACAACCCACTTGATGGCACGGAGCAGCGTCAATTTATTAAGAATTAACGGCGTGTACTACAGCCCATACGCGGTTGTTTACGTAGGTTGATTGATGAAAAAGTATACTGCTGGTGGTACCGGTATGTACTTGCTGCTGGTCCTGTAGCAGCGGTGCACACTGTACAGACAGGCAGAAAGACTGCGGCGTTGCCGTGGTCAAAACTGGCACACGGTGACACGGCCGGCCGATCTGCGCAGTAAACACAGGGCGAGCTGCTGCGCGTGCAGAGAATGTATGCCCAATCGCCAACCAGTCTACACTTCATCCCCGCCTCCTTTTAATCGCAAACTTTTCCTGATGAAACCGGTCAAATTGCACCGTGTCCAGCGCCAGTTCTTACGAAGTTCACAAAGATCGGTCGGCCACGTTTGCGATCCCGTGCGCTGCTCACGAGCCACCGCCTTCCCCATGCCATGCATGCGCGGCGCACGGACAAGCGCAAGGCGACAGTTAGCGAGGGCCATTAGGCCAATCTTGTCAGTAAGCTAAATCCAGGAGGGGAAGGCCGCGGGTGAAATGGGATCCAAGACGCAGCTTGCAGCAGCATCGCGCGCAACCGCCTCGGGGGCTCGGGGCCAAGCCAAAGCCATCCCCCCACTACTCGCGTTGTTACGTGGCGCCTGTCCCCATCGTCCCGCCGGACCGGAGGGGCCACGACCGTGTCCGCCGACCCCTTGGCGGTTTTGCTTCGAGATCGCGCCGGTTAAAAGGCCAGGCCGCATTAGCCCTGCACGAATGCGATAGTGGACCGAACCAACCCCAGCCGATCCTCTCCCTCCATCTCCCGCCCTCCTCCCCGCAGCTCGCGCGCGCTCTGTCTAGTGTCCACGCGCGCACGCAAAGGTCGCCGGCACGATGGACGGCTCCGGCTCCGGCGTCGGCCGCAAGAAGCTCAAGCACCGGCTGGCGGCCATCCTGTCGGTCTTCTCCAGGCGATCGGGCGGCAGGAAGCGCCGCGACGACGAGGCCACGCCGCCGGCCCTCGCATTGCCCTCCTACGGCCGCCTCGGGGCGGCGGGGGGCAAGAAGGCCGCGACAGGCGAGCACCACGACCGCCGCCTCTCCGTCTCCGCGCGCCGCACCGTCCCGATGATCCGCATCACCATCGACTGCGCCGGCCGCCGCTCCGTCGACGCGGCCGACCCGTCCCTCCTCGCGCCGCTCGACGCCGACGACATCAAGGCGGAGAGGGCGGCGCTCAAGGGGACGAGCGAGTGGGAGGGCCGCAAGTGCCCGCCCTCCTCGCCGTTCCGGGCGGCGGCGCCTCTGCCGCCGCTGCCGAGGTGGAAGGAGCGGCCCGGCAACGGCGGGCGCAGGCTGTCGACGCACTCCTCGCGCAGGCTGCTGAGCAGCTCCTCCTCCGACGACGAGTACGACGAGGACTCGCGGAACCTCTTCTCGTCCAGGAGCTTCTCCTCCGACTCGTCCGACTTCTACAACTGCCCGCGCAAGAACGCCGCCAAGGCGCGCGCGTCCGTGTCCGGGCCCTGCCGCGCGCCGCCGGCCGCCCCGCGCCGCGGCGCGTCGCAGAGCTGCCGCTACAGCTTCGAGATGCCGCGGGGCTCCAAGGCGTCCGCCGCCACGGACGGGGGCTTCGCCGTGGTGAAGCGCTCCGCCGACCCGTACGAGGACTTCCGCAGGTCCATGGAGGAGATGATCGCCGAGTGGCCGGAGGGCGACGGCGACGGGGAGCACAGCGCGGAGAGCCTGCTGGAGACGTACCTGGTGCTCAACTCGCCGCGGCATTACCCGGTGATCCTCGCGGCCTTCGCCGACGTGCGGGAGACGCTCTGCCCCTGAACCCGATCGGTGTTGATAGGATTATTAACCTTTGCGAGAGTGAGAGCGAGATGAATGGCATGGCAGACGATCGGGTTGGACATGTGCGATGTTGCGCGCTTACGTGCGTTGTCTCCTTCGTTCATTCATGGCTGGATCTTGACCAGCTAACTCGTGCTTAGTTGGGAGTTCCGGACGCCCCCTGTAGTTCCGTCAGCGATGGTACTGTACCTTAGTTTCTTGATGTTAACTTGTAGTGGTAGTCCAGCCTTCCGCTGTGAATGTTCTCGTCAGTTTGTGCGTCCTGTAAATACGCGATATATTTTGATTGATTGAAGGTATTTTCGAATTAGCTTTCGTCCGGCTTTCTTATTCCCCCGGCCGTTCCTCCTCCCGCAGAATCAACCCATTCAAATTGCAAATTCAGTCGACCTGCATATGGCTATTGCGATACAATCATCTCTGCTTGATTCAACTCTGGGTAAAAAAAACTATTTCCTGTCAACATTTGACTCTGAAATTCGCTTCATACGTATCACCTTCGTTGAACGAGCTCCCCACGAAAGAAAAACTCAATCCCCAAGAGCATGAAATGACGACACACATTTCTAGTCGCATGTGGATCATTTCCAACCGAATACTCTAACACGGTCTGGAATATATTCCGTGCTTCGTTGCGGCTCTGCCCCCATACAATAAGCAAACAAAATCCGGCAAGGAGTAGCCGGCAAACAACGGACGGAGAAGTGCCAAATTGGCAACGTCCGGCCTCTCTCTCCCTCCCTCCCTCGCAAGTAAACGCACACGCAGGCAGGGACATTACCGGATCTTCTATAATATGCAAACGGAAGTCGTCGGCGTGAATGAATGTGTCCATGGCTCGTTTGCACCCCCCTGCTTGGGTATGCATGCGCTCGCGGGCTAGCTGGGTAGGAGGAGGAGGAGGCGCAGGCATGTGCGTCGGGTTGGCGCGGTTGGTGACCGCGTCTGGTTGCTAGATTGGTAGGAACGGGGGGTTGGGCCGGGGGCGGCCGAACGAATCGCACCAACCAACCGGCCAGCCACGCGCGCACCCGCGATGCCGACGTGAAGCGTGGCGCACAGATTGCACCAGGCAGCGCCGCGACCGGCCGCGCGCGATTGATCGGGTCGCGGCCGCTGGCGCTGGCGCTGGCAGTGTGCAGGGCGAACGGCGACCCGTGCAGCGCCGCTGCTGTGTGTCTGTGCACGTACGTACGTAGTACCGCGGCGGATGCCATGCGCTTGTACGCATCTGCCACTTGCATGAAACTAGGAGTAGCCCGGCCGTAGCTTTGATGCATCCAGCTTTTCGCGCAACGTGACCGCACCGCGACGAGAGGCCCCGTCCGTCCGCCCCGCCCGCGCGCGCGGCCGACCGACGTGACGCCCTCGCCAGGCGCGCAGAATGTCGCCAGTTCGTCGCGTCTTGTCGCGCTCGCGAATCAGCGCCCCTGCCTGCCCCTGTTCCTCGCTCCACGTAAGCTCCCTCCATGCAGATGGTTTGAGGAATGTACTATACTGTACTCTTTTAAAATACTATCAAACCTTACAAATTTTAGTTAACAATTTTGCTAAAGCACGTCTAGATGTGTCATAAGTATTGCACATCTAAGTCCTATATCATTGATCTTACGTTGAGATTCGTGTGGATATTTTCTTTTTTTTTTCTCTTCCTCTTTATGCTTAATTCACTCACTTAGATATGCAATAACTAGAGCACATCTAGATGTGCCTTAGACATACCCGTTAGTTAATTTACATCTAGAATGCCAAGCATATATTGTTAGATTCACTACAGGAAGTGGTTTCATATTATATATATTTTGTACTGTAAGTATAAATAGTTTTTACATAAATTTGACTTCTCAAAACTCTATACGCACCACGTCGTGAAACATAGTGAATACTCTCTCCGTTCCTAATTTTTTGTTTTAGATTAATCTAGATACGGATGTATCTAATACTAAAACGTGACTTGATACATTCGTATTTAGACAAATCTAAGACAAAAATTTTATGACGGAGAGAGTACTAAATAAGGGACCGGTCACTCGACTCCTTTCCAACCCTTGATTTCTGATCTAACAGCGAACAGTCATCTTCCTCTTCCAACCGTTTTCTGAAAAATAGATCACATAGTGCCTAGCATCTTCTTCCTCCCGCCGCCTTGTGCCACCGGCCAGGTCGCCTGCTACCGCTACCATCTTTCCCTCAACCTACCCCCACCACCGATCTTGCCGCCGTCCCCGGCCATCCCTTTAAACCCGACATCCACCCGAAAATCCCGGGC